CGCGTTTCGAATGATTGCTCTTCGATACTCTACTTCCGATTCAAGTAACAACATCGCGGGGCAAAAGTAACGAGAACACGATTACATATTTACCGTTTCAGTTGTGTCGCCTTAAGCTTTTCTCATCGCTTCGAGGTATTATCTTGCAATTTATAACATAACGTCGGTTGTGCGTGCACAGAGATTAAGCGGAAGATTTTATTCACATGCACAATGATATATTCGTTCCCTTAGAATTTCTAAATCCAACGTGAACGAATTTTCGTCGATGAGAAGTTCTACCTGGTCTGACTGGTTTAATTGAAATAGAAGGCAAAAGGAGGAATGTTTTTCAAGTGTGGAAAGCTGCTTTCTCAAATCTCGATCTGGTATCTTGTGATTCAATCAATCGAGTACAATGCACAACCAATTAAAGTGCTTATTGGTCCCGCAACAGCGATTAAATTGCGTGGATAATAGGAAAAACCGTGAAATAATAAAATCGACGCAAGAGTAAAACAGAATGAAAGAAAGAGGGGGAAGAAACGCACCTGTACGAGATATGATCGTGGAAGACCTTGTTGTAACTACCGTTTTCGTCGTCGTATCCACCGTTTTGGGCTGCACCCTCCTCGCCGCGGATTTTATTAGCCGACAGCCCGAGATACCAAATCTCCGAGTACTTCTCGATCTCGGCGCGCTCGAACTCGGTGAGCCTCGAGCCGTAATACTTGAGAGCTTCGGCAGCTGTCATTGGCAATCTGCCAGCTGTATTTTGTTTTTTTTTTTTTTAATAACATAAAACAAACGTAATTTAATTATAATATATAATTGACGTCTACGATTATTAGTAATTATGAAGTAATTATTTTCAATTAAGATGTCTTTTGCTTTTGTAAGAAAATATATTAATAAGACGGATGAGAACAGACTAACAATATTTTTTTTTTTTCATACTGGTGTCAGAGCTGGTGTGCATAAATATTTCTTAGCAAGTTTCGTCGGTCTTGAATATTCTTTCTTTTCTCTCGAGTTCTTCTAGCGGATATAAATTCTAATTTGTTTCATTATTTGTTACAAAAAAAAAAAAAAAAAAAAAAAAAACAGAAACCACTTGAAAATCATCGAACAAAGATTATACACCAAAAAATTAATTTCAACGGTTGCCAGTTGTGATTTGAAATATAAAGTCTCACTTTCTCAAGTCGAAAAAAATTGTGAATGAAATTTCTTGGAATACGATCGAGCCAATCTCTATCTTTTTACTCCTCAGATATATTTTCAGGGGTACCTGAAAAGGAACATGAAAATCATCACGCAAAACAGTTAAAAAAAAAAAAAAATCGATTCACATGAATTACGTGATGCTATATACATTCAAGTATACGCTCAATCGACTTTGTCGATGGAATACAAAGAGTGTCACTTCGATACTCGTCGAGAACAAGAGAGGATCGTTTATTATTCGCTTTCAGGCACCCCGTGGTTAAGTGAGATAGCACCATTTCAATTTTATGCAAATATATAATTGCACGTACGATACACATCGTGAGATGTCGCGTTGATAGGCTCGTGCATCGGCATATTGTTGTGGATGTTGTTGGTCGTGGAGTTGGTTGTATTATTGTTGTCCGATTTGTCCACTCGCGTCGACTTGGGGTGGAAGAACGACAGTAATTTCTGAAACAAAGAATCATAAAATTCGTGGTGATCTGGCTTGTAACTCTTATGAAGTGTAGACGATACTTTATTGCACAATACTACAGTCAATACTGTATTATGTAATAAATATTATATTACGTATATAACTATCTTATGTGTATTCAAGATAATAGCCAAGCCCTTATTTTTTTTATCACTGTTACTCAAACCGTCGAGATAAAAGAAAAATATATTAGAACGTCTTCTCTCTCGTAAGGTCAATATATTTATCAGGTGGATGAAAAAATTATTAGTATAGTTTTCGGGCAATATTTTCATGAAAACAAATGATACACTAGCAATTTCCAATAATGAGTTATGCAAACGTAATAATTAATGGCGGAATGTTATTTGAAAATTTGCAAGATATCTTCTTGTGAATTACTGGAATTATGTCAGAACGTTAGGAAGAAACACTTGTCTGTAAACAACATTAAAAATATTTCATATTCCGTAAAAAATACATGCTCGAGCTGCAAACACATTTCTGATTCTCGAATTTTTACACTGCTCGTGTTATTATTGCACAATTCATTGTTGTAAATTCCTACTGTACACATCATTTGTTTTCATATGTCGCAAGAAAAACAGGTTTCCCCAATACTTTTTCACTGCAATTGATTCATACAAAAAGTTAACAGGCAGCGTAGTGCTCCGTAGTGGCAATAAATTCATAAAATAAAAATTCATAAAACAAAAGTCTCGCGTCGGAATCCCTTTCCTCCACGGTACAATAATCGTTGTGTAATTCATAGTTTGGAACTTTCGTAGCGTAGGGTCAAAACTTTTCCATTATCACGTTGAAGATACACAAATCCGCGTATTTTTTTTCTCTCTCTCTCTCTTTGTGGATCATTCTATTCGCAACTTTCAAATTTATTTATCCAAGCTGGGACAAAGAAAGCCGCGTTTTCGTCGCAGTATTTTACAATCACCGAGTTTCTCGAGGGAAAGTGGGGTAACAGGGTGGCTGCCATAAATTCCACCAGTGAACATCGTCGACGATTACGTTCCCGTGATCGTAATACAATATTCGCATGCTAGCTCGTTTTTCTCCGAGATATTATTTAGCGGAATTACTTAAAAAAAAAAAAAAAAAAA